AGAGAGAACAGAGAGAGAGAGAGAGACAAAAAGGAGAGAGAGAGAGAGAAAAGAGGAGAGAGAGAGAGGAAAGAGGAGAGGAGAGACAAGGAGAGAGAGACAAAGAGAGAGAGAGAGACAAAAGAGAGAGAGAGAGACAAAGAGAGAGAGAGAGACAAAGAGAGAGAGAGAGACAAAGGAGAGAGAGAGACAGAGAGAGAGAGAGAGAGAGAGAGAGAGGAGGAGAGAGAGAGAGAAGAGAAGAGAGATGAGAGAGAGAAAGAGAGAGAGGAGAGAGAGAGAGAAGAGAGAAACAAAGAGAAGAGAGAAACAAAGAGAAAGAGAGAGAGAATATATGATTGACATACACACGCGCAAATGCACCAACACAAAGTATTTTTGTACTTGTGATTGTGTATTTTACTTACTTTCTTTTTGTATTGCAGTCAAGGCATGTTCAAACAGTCACGACCCCATCAATGTGTCCGTTTCAACTACCTGGTGGATGGTCAGAGTGGGTACTTACATACTTTCCGCTCCATGAACATCCGTTTCTTCAACAACATGGCCATCACTATCAAATCTGAGGAGGAAATGATTGGTAAGTTAGCATACAAAGTCGAATGTCTTGTTGACTGAATGAAAGGCTGATCAATATGTATGGAGTAGGTGAGGGTAGTATAGTGAGTGTGACCTGCATATTTTGCAGCATAGTTGGAAAAAATAGAACCATGTTTAAAGAGTTTGTCTCTATTCTACTGTTAATTCTTTGATTAATGTTGAGTGAGGGAACAATAAGATTCTAACATTAACAGCATTGGCATAGCACTGAGGACCCAAGAAAATACATGAATAATTTTTCCAAAGTACATCGTAAAGTTAGTGTATGTAATTAGATTTTTAAAAGCTTAATATACTGTATATGCTGCCTCATATCAAGTAATGTGGATAGTGCAATATCTCTTGTCTTCAAGGGAAAGAAATTTTGTTAAGACTTAGTTGTTTGAGATTTTAAAAATTTTATTGGATAAAACAAGTGTGCAAGCATTCTGTACCTTCCACTGATCTTTAAGAAACTAGTGTCTGTTTATTAAATTTCCTCAGCAGCTGGAGCTATTGGTCGTCATATCCTGCTTTTATTTTCAGAATCTGTCAAAGCCATTGGGGAAACATTTGAGGTGGCTGTGCAGATGATTGGCTGTGAGGTTCAGCTGGTCACTGGGAAGATGGAAAAGAAGAGGAGTCGAGGGCGCAACCAGCTGGCCAATCTCCTTAATCCAATTGCATCTCTTACTAAAACATCTCCAGACACTCTCAAGACAGCAGGTTATGATCAGATTATTTGATGATATGAATTGCTTTTGGAGTTTGTTTAGAAACAGTTCTGGGGTGTAAGGATTTTATTGTTTAGATTATATAACAAACTAGATCTTGATATGAATACATAGATTTCATATATCTAACTTCTTTATTCATGCACTTGATATATTAAAAGTTAATTATCACTCATTTTATTAAAAATCTTTTTGTTGCCTAGAAAGTCAACATACTTCCTACTCTGAAATAGAGAACTTACATGTTCAATTAGGAAATTTCTAAATTGGGTTCTTTTTTCTTTGTTTTGGAAATAGTTGTCTAGTAAAGTTCTTGATTTTGTAATTTCATATTTGAAGTTCTCCTTCTCTCTTGCATAGGAACACGTGCATTTAGCAACATGACGTCAGGCTTGGCAAAACTAAACCCAATGGCCAGTTTACGAATGAAAAGGGCCAGTCACCCCACAGTTCATCCAGCTGCATCAACGTTTTACTTCCAGGTGATCTGTTTGAGAATGAAGGAATTTGACATGATGATCACTGTTGATATAGAAAGCATAGTAGAACCAAATTGCTGTTTCTTTTTATTAATCCATTTCCCTTTTACTTTTTGCATTTGCAGAAACCAACAGTATCTGTACAGAATGGGAGTGATGTGATAATACAAATGGGTGGAAATGAAACTTACCTGGCATCTTGTGGTGTGTTAGCCTCAAGCTTGATGGCCCCACCTTCCCCACCACCAAGGTATCCTTCACCTCCTATTGCCAGGTGCCACAGTGACTCAGCCATCTTGCATGGCAGCATCTTAGGACGAAGCAGCATTCCTGGTGTTTCAGCCAACCGCTCGCCAACTCCGGAAATTTTGGTGAGTGGGACTGGGGATAAGAATAACACGCCTGCCATCACACCCACATTGGGAGGTCTTTCGCCATCCCTGTTGATGCAGAGGGTTAGGAAGATCTCCCATTCTTCGGATGAAGTGGATGTACGTGATGAGAGGGATGCTGGAGTCTTAAGAGCATCCTCTGCCACAAATCTGCAACTACATCTTCCCTCGAGCCATTCAGAGGGACACATTGGTGGAACATCCTCACAGTCAGCAGCAGGGGACCACTCAAACCCTCTCTCACCACTATCTGCTCTCAACAAAGAAGCTGTGTTGGCTCCTTTCTCTGTTCTGGCAAGAGGAGTCCAGAGCTTAGCACCAGGAGCAGGACGTCTTGCAAGAGGAATGCAGAGCATTGGGGCTAACTTTGATCCTAGGCGCTTGCGTGCCCAACGCCAAAGGCAACTTGAAGATGATCCAGTATTGACAGAAAAGAAACAGAACTGTAAAACACGGATAATTCAGCTTTAAAATGACTGCCTTCTGTAGCATGGCATGTGTTTTAAAATTTTAGGTAGCTACCTTTCCTCTCTGAATAAATTTATTATTGACAACAGGTCATCCCTTGAGAAAACTGGTAATCAGAAATAGACTAAAGGTAGATTGGTATTATGTCAGCTTGTGTTGAAATGTAACAGATTCGTCCGATTCAAATTTTTAGATTATTTGTACGATGCTGTTTGTGCAGCTGATTGGTTTCTGCAGTTTATTGATAAGATGGTTCAGTTTACCACAATTTATTCTCAACGACCCTTGTTAATAAATGATTTGATGATCCGCATTTGAACATTCCATGAGGAATATATGATTTGATCTCACTGATTAATATTGTTTTGCGCACAGTATTAGTACATAAGCACTTCCAGTGTTGAGGTTTTGTGTAGAGGTCTTCCAGTTGTTTTTATTATTATTTATTTATCTAATTTATTTTTAAATGTGTAAACATTGTTAAAGTATTTTAAAAGTTTTACTTTAATCACCTTTTTAGAATTTGCCTATATTTGATCCCCCAGGAATCTTATAGCCTGGCATTGTAGGATAGTGCCATCCTCTTGTTCTGTAAATAATGGTTCTAGTTAGTTCTCCCTTACTTGTAGTAATGACACCTTAGAAAGAGGGTATTGGAGTATTTTATCATGTTACTGTTGCTTTTGTGGTATGAAACACAGGTTTTTGAAACACAGATATCACATGCTCACAGTTGATTTCCTTCATTACATCACCCATACTCAATGAAGTTCACAAATAGTTGGGGGCACTTTGTTGGATTAGCCAGCAGTCACTGGTGTTTACGTGTTATGAAACCCAGTGATGGATCAGCCCACATAAAATAACCTACTTCTTTTGCTGCAACAAGTGGTAGGTGCATTTAGCCATATTCATTGTCAATGATGTCCATTCCACCTGTGGGAAAGTGTATTGCATGGTGACTTGTCATGTACTGCATTCTGTGATGTTTATTGTTGATTCCTCTTGTTCCCATTTTCAGAAATACTGTGTATAAGGGCAGTCTTTTTATACCTTGTGATTAGTTATGGTATTTTAAGGAAAGAAATTATAAATTGCGGATGAGGTAAAAATATTTTTCTGTGAAAATAAGAGTATATTCATATGAACAGAACATCTATAAGCCATTCTTTAATCTGAAGTAATTTACTTTTTAAAGTGAAGATATGTATAAAAACAGTAAAAAACAGGGTTATTCATTGTATTTCTCACTGGTGCCTGTCTGTAACAGTAGCTAATAATAAAGTAAAATTGATCATCACTTGTTTTGACTAAGAATATGGCTAAGTGTTGGAAGAATTAAAAAATGACATGGTCATTATTATACCATGTCAGTGAGATGCTACTTATTTAAGTTATTTACATCTAATGCGATGCTTCAGGGTCCTGTGTACTGTAAGCTATGGTAGCAATAGATTTTTGAAAATGCTTCAGTTTTTCCTTTCTAGTGGCTAATGGATGCAAGTTTAGTCTTGTCGTTTTGTATTTATTTTCAGAAGATTTATTTATATAGTAGTAAAGGATTTACTTATAAATAGCTCTGATTAATATGTTCATGTATCTAATGATACATATCATTAGTGTATTTAAAGGTAAAACTGTACTAGCCTGTGAAGTTGTTGACACCTGCCCCCTGCACAGCCATGATAGCAGTAATGTAGATGGACATAGACTTTTGTGTATGTGCTGTAGTTTGCACACACCAGAGGTGACAGTAAATGTGTAGCTTGAAGTTTTCATCTGTTCAGGAAGACTGATCAAAGTCTTCTAGGACAGGAAGAAAGTTCTTAGGCAGAGTCTGTTTCAAGATCAGCATGTACTGTATGCAGGACAGATGGAAGTAATTAGAGTTTACCAGCAGGTCACTTCATTTCTTTTTTCTTTCTGTTCTCCTTGTGCCTGGTAATGTTTTGACTTTTTGTCCAGCTTATCAGTTTACGAAGATCATATATTAAGGGAGGTAATGGAACAATATATATTGGTATAAGAATAATCTGTGTGGAATTATACCTGAAGCCTTTGAGAATTCAGATGTCTGGAATCCCATTATGTGTCAAGCAGATTAATTTCTTGCCTTTATAAACACAGGTTCTCAGGTGCTAGTACTTTTTGTTTCTTTTGGAATTTGTTCGTTCATTGGTGTTATGTAATTATGTGATTTATAGCTATAGGACCATTGAGTGGCTTGAATGATTCAAATTAGGTCATTCATAGTGGGTCTTTTATGTGGCTAAAAGGACAATATAGTTAATAGGATTGATTAACTTTGCGGTTTGAATTTCTTTTTTATGATTTACTAATTTTGTTTGTAGTCATGTCTTATTCCTATCAATAATTGTTTTTGTTAGGTCTCTCTCTGTTTTATATCTAATGTTGGCTCTTGAGTGTGATAATATATGTGAAATACCTGCTGTCACCTCTAATTTTAAAGACTTGTACACTTACACTTTCACATTTATTCGTCAAGGAAAAAATAATGGAATTTATTGTGGAGCAATTAGGACAGTTTTCTCTTGCTTTGCAGCTAAGATTTTTTCTCCTCCAGGTTTTATTTACATACATTACCTATGTAAATAGAAATGTCCTTTCTGCTTTTAGAGTAAGATTCTATATAGTGATGAATAGTATCCTGACTGATTTTGAGGAAAAAAACTGAGCTGAAAGAAAGAGTGGAAAACATTTTCAGCTCAATATATTTTTCTATTACAGTGGCTGAATTTTAAGGTCATATTTATTGCACTAAGATGCAAAGATATGCAATACCTCACAAGCATACCAATGCACCACTCCCTTGTGTCTGCATACCAAGTACCTTTAGAAATGAAAAAAAAATCAATTATATTTAAACAGAAGAAACTTGTTCAATTTATGAGTAAGTAAAATATACAGATTTGTAAAAAAAATATATATGTATATATGTTTGGTTGCTCATCATAAGTGTACAAATCTTTTCAAGGCATACGGCATGTTGGAGCTTCCATTGTCATGTCTCTTGACAATTAGAGTTTAGTTAGTAAGTTTATATGAGTACATAGATAGGCAGTTTTATGTACAGCATATACTGTGGCAATTTTATAATAGTGCAAATAATAGTTCGTAGGCTTGACTTGCACTTCTGCTTGGACCTTAAATGTACTGGTTCATTGTTCAGCAAAACGTTAGAG